AAGAATCTATCACTCACAATATCAAAGTGGAAAGAAACTGTAATGGATTGGAAACACTGACGAGAAGCCGCGTTGGTTGTTAACTAGTCTTTATTTCAGCCATGATGGAAAGAGGAAGAGGGCGGAAGAGGAAGAACAATATATATAAGGGACATCACTCATAACAACATTATAAATATAACTAATACAAGAAGAGTGAGTTCCCTTGACCTCACAATTATCTCAATATATTACATCCCTTTACCCTTAGAACACAACAACACATCTCTCAATAGAACAATTGATAGTATCCTAAAATCACCAATTATATTGTAACATGAACATTATGGTAGATTACATCCTTACAAACAATGCACAATATGTTACAACATAATTAAAATACAAAACAATGATGTCAAAGTCCTTTTGACCTTTAAAATCATAGGTCTAACTTATTTGGGACTTTGATTGTCCTGCTTGACCTTCTCAGTGGCTTTTGATTTGGTGACTCAAGATTCTGACCATATGGATTCTCTATCTCAGGAGGTCTAGGATCTAAATCATTAATTCCAGAATTTACATTTTCTGACTCTAGACAACTTGGTTCACTCATATCAACAGAACTTGGTTGTGGAACAAACTGAGTTGGTGTGAACTGTTCAGATTTGGTGGGATTGACAGATTCACACTTATTATCTGCACAAGTTATTTTTAACTGGTCTGCATGTCTACGGACAATAAGTCCATCATTTGTTTTTACTTTATAAGACACAGGTCCTGTACATTGAACAATTTGACCTGGCATCCATTTTTCCCTTCTCCCATAATTTCTCAGATACACATTCTCATTTACACCAAATTCTCTTTCAATGGATGTTTTGACATGATTTAATGGAACTATTTTTGAATTGGAATCTGAAAGTATTATGCTGTTATTCAGATCCTTAACTGACATAGATTTCTTTGATTGATCAATTTCCTCATGTAATCTGATAGTGCTTTTTGGTAACCAAAAATACTGTTTAAAAGTACTATCCTGGACCATATCAATTTGCAACTTTGATCCAGTATTTGAAGTGGGTGTATTAAATGGCAAAAATCTTTTTTCTTTTGATGTTACCCTTTTAGTTTCTGTAAGTGCTAATGATGTTAGCAAAGTTGTTTGATGATCACATTCCTTCTTACTAATGTATTCTCTTTTAAAAGCATTAGAAATTGTCATATCACCATAATCATTTATTAAGTTACAAATACTTTGTTTAGGTAACTCTGACTGATAATGGACTGCATCTTCTCCATCTTTTAGACTTAATTCTGTTTTTCTTATTTTATATGGCTTTAAGTCCTCATTCACTGACTCTTCAGGCCAACCATTTTTACAGTAATCATAAACTTTTATTAAGCACTCATCTTTTTGTGTTTCTCTTTTAATATCATTCACATTTATATTGGAGTTATCCATGATGGTGAAGAGAACAAATACATCTTCTGGTACATAACTAAGGCTTTGGTTTTTTAAAGGTAATCTACTAAGACTATCTGCACTATTCTCAGATCCAGGTTTGTATTTCAATTCATAATTGTATGCAGTTAGTGTGATAGCCCATCTTTGAATTCTTGGTGAGGCATGCTCAGGTAGGGGTTTGTTTTCTCCAAATAAACCTAGCAATGGCTTATGATCTGTAAAGATGGTGAATTCTTTACCAAACAGAAACTTGTGAAATTTCTTAACACCAAAAATGATGCCTAAGCCTTCCCTATCTAACTGAGAATAATTGTTCTCAGCCTGGTTCAAAGATCTACTGGCAAAAGCAATGGGTCTGTCACCCTTTTTATCTATGTGGGATAAGACTGCTCCTACACCATCAGGTGAAGCATCACATGTTAATATAAGTCTTTTCCCTGGGTCATAGTGGGTTAGTAAGGTGTCAGAAGACAAAGCTTCTTTTGCTGTATTAAAAGCAGCATCTTGATGTTTACCCCAGTGCGAAGTTGCATTTTTCTGCAGCAGCTTGTACAGTGGTGATAGTTTACCAGACAGATTCCCTATGAACTTTGCATAGTAATTTATCAAGCCCAAAAAAGCTCTTAGTTGTTGGGTATTTTCAGGTTTGGGTGCTTCTTTAATGGCTTTTGTTTTCTCAGGTTGAGGTCTGAGACCTTGCTTGCTTAATATATAACCAAGAAAACTAATTTCTGTCAGCATGAATTGACATTTATCTTTGTTTATCTTTAAACCTTTTTCACCAACTATTTTCAAGACTTTATCTAGTGTTTTAAGATGTTCAGTGTCATTCTTACCAGTTATGTACACATTGTCAAAGTAAACACAAACATTTGGAATATCCTTAAAAATACTGTCCATGACAGCTTGGAAAATTCCAGGGCTGGATGATATACCAAAACATAGTCTTTCATATTGGTAGAGTCCTTTATGTGTGTTTATTGTCGTATAGACTTTTGAATCTGGATGCAGTTCTAGTTGAGTGTAAGCATGACTAAAGACTCTGTCGGTGAATTTGTCTCCTGCCAAATTCAAAGAAATTTCCTCAATGTTAGGAATAGGGTACCTATTTAGCTCTATTTGCTTATTCAGTGTGGCTTTATAGTCTCCACAAATTCTTACAGAACCATCCTTCTTTAACACTGGCACAATGGGCGTTGCCCAATCGGAATAGTCTACCTTCTTTATGATGCCATTAGATTCCAATCTACTTAGCTCATTTTCAATTTTATCCCTCATTGCATAAGGTGGAACTCTAGCTTTGCAGTATCTTGGATTTGTGTCTTTAATGCTTATCTTCACTGTTCTATCATTTAGTAATCCTGAATTACCAAAAACACTTTCAATTTCAGATATAACTTTATCTATTGAAGTAAAACTAGATTCTCTTGCTTTGATCACTGAAAATATACTCTCCCAATTTAACTTAAGATCAACTAACCAGTTCCTACCTAGTAATGGTGGTCCGTTTCCTTCAACCACAAAAAGAGGAAGTTTAACACTTTGACCATTATAACTTACATGAACCATACACTCTCCTATTACCGGAACATTGTCACCAGTGTATGTTGTTAGACACTTGTGACATGGTTGTAGAGGCACTGATCCTCCTGTGACAGCGTCAAAGTCCTTCTTTGTGATGACTGTTAGAGATACTCCAGTGTCAAGTTGGAAGCTGATGCTCTTACCGTTGATATTAACTAGTACATTGATGGGAGCATGACTTATTGATTTCACAGAGAACAGGTTGAAATCCGGCTGCGAATCAGTTTGAGCATTTTCACAGGTAGAGTGGTTCATCGGTTGGGTTAGGTAGTCTTGGTGAGAGTTAACATAGTGCTGCCTTTGGTTGCGGTACTGTCTTGACTGGCTAGATTTAGCAACAGACGAAGACTTTGCAAAGCAGGCCTTGGCAATGTGACCTTGCTTACTGCACTTATAACAAGTTGCTAACTTGAACTTGCATCGATGAGATGCATGGGGACCTTTGCATCGATGACATTTTTGATAATTATTACTAGATTTAGATCTAGGATTTGAACGTGCAGGCTGTTTAGCATAAGTTGAAATGCTCTGATGGGGTTGGTTTTTATTGACTAACCTGCTGTTTACTGCATGGATCTCTGAAGGTGCTAGAGATCTCGCCGCATCAGATGACTGCTGGAATGAAGTTGCAAGTTGTATTGCTTTTTCTAATGTTAGATCTGACTCGAGCAGCAACTTTCTTTGAACATCAGGGCTGTTTACACCTGTCACAAACTTTTCACATAGTCTGTCAGACAGCGTGTCTCCGAATTCACAAAATCTACTTAGATGACGTAAAGCAGCAACATATTCTGATATTGACTCGTTTGGTTGACGAGTCCTACCGTCAAATCTAGCTCTACACAGAAACTTTGATGGTTCAGGCGCATGATGGTCTGTTAGCAGTTTGCTCAGCTCGTTAAAGCTCTTGGTAGTTAGACTAGCTGGTGCGCATAAGTCCTTTAATAGCCTAAATTGTTGAGGCCCTATGACTGTTAACAAAACAGCTCTCTTTTTGGCTTCTATCGTCACGTCGTTAGCTTCAAGGTAAAAGCTTAACCTATCTAGATAATAATGTATGATTTGGCCATACAGCGCCATTATTCTAGAAATACTTAGCCAATATGCTCTAGCAAGCTCCTTTTTAAGTAAGCATATGCTCTTTCTAGTGGATTATTTATCCTCGTCGCCAGATGTAATGGATTGGAAACACTGACGAGAAGCCGCGTTGGTTGTTAACTAGTCTTTATTTCAGCCATGATGGAAAGAGGAAGAGGGCGGAAGAGGAAGAACAATATATATAAGGGACATCACTCATAACAACATTATAAATATAACTAATACAAGAAGAGTGAGTTCCCTTGACCTCACAATTATCTCAATATATTACAGAAACGATCTCCCGTACAGAGCAACTGACAAGATCTACTAGTTATTATCTACTAGTAATTGTCAAAAGTAATTAAAAATTTATTTTAAATGTATTAAGAGTTGATCTTACATCTTACTTTTGATTTATTTAGTCATTAAGCTAAACATACAAAACAATATTAAAAATATAGCCATTATCAAAATCAAGCTTGCGATTTTGTATGCTATTGGTGTTAGGATAAGATAAATGTACACAATTTTAACTATTCAATTTACAGTTGGTTAGAGAATAAAAGGCTATAGAAAACAATTCTGTAAATACAGTTATGGATTATATTTTGACTAAACCCGTTCAGAAAAACGATTTGAGCAGGTCTTTGTTAATCATGTGGAAGTTTTTAAAAACCCAGATTTTTTTCCATGTCTCCTTGCAATACTTTATATCCTTCTCATAGAAATCCAGTGTAGCAAAATTGGACACTCTTGAGTGTTCAATAGTGAACATGTCTAGTGCTAAGGTTTTGTTTTTTGTAGAAAACACTGCCGGTACTATTTTAAATGACGTTCACGACAAAGTGGTTTACTTATAAACAAATTCTTAGATATTATACTAATTACTTACCTCAAATTTAGGGAATGAGAAACTGACTTCCTCTCCTGGTCCTCTGACTTGGCTAAGCAGGTCCTCCAATTTCTCAGATGTCAAACTATTCACAAGTGTCTAGAAAAAAAATAAAAAAAATCAATGTCCATGTAGTGTTTAAATCTAACATGAGTTTTGTAACTCTTATGCTTCAAGTAGTGCATCTTGCACCAACCTCAGGAATCTAGACAGACTTGAATATTGGACTTGTTTGATGTAGGAGTATGTCTCACTTTTTGTGATCACGTGAAATGTTAAGTTGAGGGTGTGGGTAAAATTCTGTGACATCATTGATTGGTAATCATTATACTATGGTCTCTATTTACATAACATTTACATACGTAATTAAAGCTTCTGCTCTCATGATATTGATTTAAAAAATATCAGTGTATATATCTAAACAAAGCTGGTAATTTGTAACTGTACACATAATGGTTTTAAATAAAATATTGCCTCTATTATTTTGGAACATTTGTCAATAAAAAATGTTGGATTTCCTATTTTTTCCTGAATGTGTGAAAGCATCTAGATCTAGTTTTATAAGATTTAAATAGACCTTAATGTAAATATTTTTTTTAATAATGTACAAATGGAATGATTAGCTAACAGTTTTTACTTTAGTATCTGGTCAAACATTGATATACTACAATTTAATTTTAATTTCAAGTCAATCAAAACAATTGTTGCAAGTTTTACCTGAAGGCCAAAATCTTCATCAGGAAGAATAATAACCATTCCTAGTTCTCTCCCCTTGTATGGAATCTCAAGAGCAGTGCACTTAAGTTCCTCATCTACAATGTAGGGGAAGTTATGAGTCATTGTCATCATGGGCACATCTTTGGTCTGTCCTGGGGCTACTTTAAATGGCTTGGGTTTGGTGTTCTCTACTTCAAACTGCTTGTCCCAGTTGCCTATATTAGATAACAAAAATAGAAACTTTTTTCATTTAAAAATGCATTAACAAACACAAAAATAATAAACACACACTGAAGGAAAAGTGTGAAGAATATCTGGTGATAAAAGTTTTATTGCTTAAAAGGGATACTGTTTTAGTCCACTCTGTTCTAACAGATATTAAACAATCAGACATCAGTTAGGGAATAAATAAGTTTGGGACACAACACTAGACATACAAAATTGAAAAGATCAAACAGTGGGAACTATTGACCAAAACTTAATAATGCAATGCAACCCATGTATTTTAAACATTTTAACATTATATGCCCAGCGGACTCTGCTTTCCCTAACGTGAGTCAGGTACCCATCAGAAACAGGTGGACTCTAATATATCCTAAGGTCTAGAGCATATTTGTTATCAGTTGTGCACTATACCATCCAACCAAGCAGTCCCATACACAACAACAAACAAGGTTATCGTAATTTTTGCAAGATATTCACAAATCAATGATGTACCTTTAAAGTAAATAGCATTAACAAGCACCATGCGAGTGAGTGCACCCAGAACACCAGCCGTCAGCAAGTCGTTGATTTTATTTTTGGTTTGTTCTGAGACCCAGCTGTTGATCTGAAGTCTTTCATTTTCAGCATCACTCACAAAATTTGAAATCACTGTCTCTGTGGGAATAACACCAAAATTAGTTAAGTAGATTCTAAAAATACACATCAAAACGTAACTAAAAGCTTAAGACCTTAAGTAAAAACAACACACCTGCGAGGTAACACTTCTTTGTTTTGTTTTTGAACTCGTCTAAAACTGCATAGCTTTTTTCTATGTAGATCCTATTGGCAGTTGACAGCTGGTATTGATCGTTTGGTGTCTGTAGCTGTGTGACGTAAGCCTGAAACTGCTCATGGAGTTTAGTCTCGTCATCTGTCTCCCAGCGCAAGGCTTTAGCCATTCCTTGAGCTGTTTCCTCGCGAGCTCCTAAATGGGTCATGGCCAGAGCAACAGAAATGCTAAAAGGTGAAACAAACGTGTTTTCTTTCTGGTTTCCATCGTAGAGAATCTTGAAGAGATCCAAAGCAAATTTGTTGTTGGCAGCTGTCACAAGAGGTACGTCGATGGTGTCAGTGGTAGGTGTGACAAGTGACGCGTCTAACATCTTTTTGGCAGCTGTCACTAGAGGTACGTCGATGGTCGTTGTCACAACTGGCTCGACGCTCGTCTTGTTGGCAGTTTTCACAAATGGCTCGTCTACAGTCTTGTGAGCTAAAATACATTATATTTATATAAAGAGTTATTACTCATTTGTTTTCGCACAAATATATTGTATAGCCATAAAAATAACTCTTTTAACAGGCGTTTACTATGTAACTATTTGGGACTGAAGTCAAATTTTGTAACAATTTTGCTTCACTTCATTTTCAATGAGAACATTTGGGGAAAATTTTATTTTTAGATTTTTTTATGAATACGAAAAGGATAAAATTCGTCCAATCTATTGTAAAGTCGATTGGAACCTACACATCTAAGTCTCAAAAACCACATCTGTTTTAATAACACCATGCGATTTTAAAAATAATTAAAAGGCCCTTAATACTATGGGAGCCATTCATTCTACCTGATTGTTTAGAGGGCCCAGATAAAATACTTCCCATTTTTGTTAACGTTTCCAACTGTAATTCCCTGGTTAAAACCTGCAGGAAATTAAAAATAAATGAGAGAATAAATGTTTTGTTCAGAATTATTATAATTATGTCTGTGTAGTCTGTGGTTGTTTTTTGGCTCAACCAGTTCAATATTCAAATATTAATGCTATAGGTAACCTGGAAGTCAAATACCAGAATCAAACACATCAAGCCAACCAGCTTTTTTTTTTTAAAAAAAATCTATCAAATAAATCATATCGTTTGTCTATCATACAGAATAAAGGTGTATTGTCCTAGGTGTCAAATGGCGATTTTCAACCGTCCAGCTTCCGAGCATCGGATTTATTTTTTTTAATAACATCATATCTAATGAGAAATGCATAGATTTAGGTGTGAGCGGGTGAATGGATTTTTTATTTTGTATTAATTTATTTTGTGCGAATCTGTGAGTGCATGGTGGTCCAATGGGGAACGGCCACGGGGTTCCCCCTTCCGCCCGAAGCGGTCAGTATAAATTGACCGCTCGGATGATTTTCTTTCTTTTGACCTGAGGCAAGATCTAGACAGGGTCGGTTTCTGTGTGGGCGCGTGGCGCACCTCACGCGTGGAGTGAGGTTGCTTGTGCAACTTGGCTGGGTGTTTTGTTTGGTGTAAAAAGTTTGTTGTGTACGTATTTTCTACGTAATGTATTGTACGTAACGTATTGTACGTAGTGGTTTTACGTAGTGTTTTGTTTGGTGTGGACTTTTGGATGTCGAGAATGGATGAAGGGAGGTTTCTGTGTGTCAGGGCCTGGACCATCCTAGACATCATAAGTCGGTGCAGCACCATCAAATAGTCGAACGTAGTGTTTTGTTTGGTTTTGTTTGGTTTTGTTTTGTCTGTTTTGTGTCAGTAGTTTTTATCTATTCTTTTTTTGTGATTTTTCATTGGTTCCATATTTTTGGTAAATAAATTTTATTAATTGTTAAAGTTTTTGTCTTATTTTAGTAGTTTTTTATTTAAGGATAAGATATACCACCGTGGGTTTCACCACGGTTGCACTGACCCGGACAGTTAGATAGATTTAAGTATCCCCCCCTAGCAGGGCTTACATAGGTTTGGACTAGTGGAAGAGCACTTTATTATATATAAATAATTTAGATTTATTCTTAATAACTTTGTATATAAAGATGACTGGTTTTGACAATGACACAACATTTTACTATTTATAAAACAATTTATATTTATTTTTAAATTAGGACATGGGTGAGCCTGGAATCTTTATTTTTCCCTAAAAAAATTTTATGATCTATTCAGTGGACAGAAAATTAATATAAATTGTGGATAAACTTCTTACATGTAGTTTGGTTAATAATAGATTTGCTGTAAATATGTTTAACGATTTATCTAATTTATTTTTTTATTTTGGTAACTATGCTTTTTACTAGAAAACGTGTGTGTCATATGCAATAAAACGAGTAGTGGATAACACAAATTGTTATTAAAATTCTCCATTTTTGTACCATAAAATGATTAGGATTTAGGATTCTGTATAAACTACTCCCGTGTAGGAGAATTCAATTTCTCTATATCTCCACTTACTCATGCATTGCTAGTTGATATTTTTCTTGGGTGTTAAATAATCTAAACTTGGTGTCTAAGCTGTAAAAGTGTACTAACGTTCCTAGTCCAGCAGACAAATTAGTTAAAATTACCTCAGTACTTCAGTGGTTGGTTGTCTTGGTCCACAGCCCACTTGTATTTCAAAGACATAGATTTTCCAGTTCTTTAATGAGATTTAATTTCCGCTCCATTGATCCGCTGATTAACCAGGAAGCTTTATTTTGTTTATGAAATATGAGAAATGGGTCTTAAAGGTCGTACATATTATTTAAATACAAAGTGCTGTGATGTTATTATCATTTTGTTAATGCTTTCCCCTGATAAGCCATGTGTGCTGTAAATGACATAACATGACATCGAGGTGAGAAATGTTGAGGGGAGGGCAGTGGTACTGACTCCTCTTTGGTTTTATTGTGGGCTAGAAAAAGGCGGGGGCTGGCCATCATGAGGGTTGAACATCAGTATTAATGTGTCTGATCACTTCCCTGCTGGATTATAAGGGTCTTAAATTGTATAACATGCTACCCAGATTGGGTGAGATCTAAGAACAGCAGTGGTTATTACCCATGAATTATATAAGCCGTTGTAGTGTGGGTTTTGTAGGAGTTAAGTGGTCTCACGTTTGCTACAGTAGTGTGGTTGTACTAGATCTATTGCTACTAAATCTTGTACTTAACAGATAATCTAGAATCTACATTAACTAGATCTAGATAACCTATAATATATTACTGGATTTGATCAGATTCGTCTACTTAAACTCTAAACGCAAACAGTATTACTAACAGTATTTTTATTTTGAAATTTCGGCCACGAAACTGTCAATAACAGTATAAGGATCTTCAATTCCTAAGAGTTCAAGTTTTTTAACGTATTATTCCTTTTCCGCGAGTGCGGTTCTTTACATACAGTGAACGCGTCCAGCGCTGGTGAACAGCTGATTGTGTTTACGTCTGGTGTACACCACCGTAGCGGCGGACGTAGGTATCACGTGATTTAGGTCACGTCTTTGCAAGGACTCTATTGAGTCAATTTGTTATCTCCTATGTCTTAGCAAGGTACTCTCCAGACCAGAGGCATAACGACCCCTCCCGGCGCCCGGGGACAAACTTTCGATTTGCACCCCCCTCGAACTTTTCATTTGCACCCCCCTTCAAACTTTCGATTTGCACCCCCCCCCCCCCGTCGAATTTTTCATTTGCATCCCCCCCCCTCAAACTTTCAATTTGGCGCCCCACCTAAGGTCGGCGCCCGGGGACATATCTCCCCCCCCCGCCCCCCCCCCCTCGCTACGCCTCTGCTCCAGACTGGTCTTATAGCTTCAATGACTTCTGTTAGAAGGTAATGATGTGCTCCAAATGTGTATTGATGTTTTTACTTTATGTAAGTCCATTATACAGCAAAAAACTAATTCTGACCTTTCCGCGTCTCAACTTTGCATCACAAATGCAGTTCATCTGTTCACAATATTTAAAAAAAAAATGAGAGGATAAGCTTAGAAGCAACCAGATTATCGGTTTCATTTTGTATTATTACAATTAAATATGCATTAACTAGCTAGCCCCTTTCTTTCATTTCTAAGAAACAATTACATCAATGACACACAAGTGCGATGAAATAGTTTCTCAGAGAATCGCTATATAGATCTATACTTTATTTTCATATTTTCTAAATAATTTTCTAGATGGTTGACTTTAATTTAATATTTAGTTTTGTTTTATTCAGAATCTCCATTGAGAAGTACTTTTCCTATGTATCCTTCTATTTAGTAGAATCTTGAGTCTGCATCAATGTATATTAGATTCTATATTTTTTTGTTTTGACTTTGTGGGTGTGTCCACCTGGTTACCAAATGTAAACAAACTTTTTAATGTATTTTAAAACTATTAGCAAACTAGTCTGTTTAAGTTACATAAACATAATCTAGGGTAATCTATCGCTTTAGGTACATAAAGTCGGCAGCGGCTAGTAATGTACGAAAAAGTTACCTCATTGTCAAGGCTTTAATAGAAGTATATTATGAAATATTTGTGTCAAATGTTATAGATAACTGAATAATAAACCAAAATCAATGGCTAAATATATCAATATAGGCCAGAAATTAATTTTAAACAGCAGTGTTTGAGAGCAAGATTTGCTATATAAACAGCAGCCATTTGTAAAATAGAGTGGCTTCCCCTGAATCTTCCGCTATAAGTTTAACAAAATAAAACTTAAACAAGATGGCTGCTATAGTAAATGAGCATGGTTGCATCTGATGAAAACATCGCTAGTCTTCATGTATTACTGATAAGTTTTAATTGAATTGTTTAAAAACAGGTACATAAATGAAACAAGAAAACATTTTTGTATTTTTCAAAACATAAATCCTCCTCAAAATGTGAAATAATTATTAAAATTTAAGGAGTCACCAGTTTTTACATTACTAGTCTCACGGGCGATTTTACGTACCTAAAACGATAGATTACCTCTAGATTAGATAATGTCTTTTTCTACAGTTTCACTAGCTGTATATTGCATATTACAATCTTTTATACTTGGAATACTCACTTTCTGTACTAGTTACTAGATCTAGGTTTAATTTTAGAAATTTTTAATACCTCAAACAGTGACGACAGGCAATAAGTAATAAGCCAAAAATTGAGTGAAATGAGTCATTATTCTAAGTACTAGTAAGTAGGCCTAAGTACAATAATATCTAGATCTAATAGGAAAGTACCTTGAAATCGGGAGAAGCTAATTATTCTATATAGTAAAGGGAATGTTTATTGTTTATATTTATTACTATATCGTTCATTAGTCATTACCGAGTGTAGTAAAAGTAGGTATTCTAAATGAGCCGAAAAATTTAAGCCGGTTTTAAAAATTTTTGGTCGCGTTGCGGCATCGCGCGGCGGTCCGACCCCATAACACATACGCAATTAGAAACCACTGATTTAGAAAGAAGAATGGTAGCTCTGTAAGATGGTATAACTTTACCAGCTTTATAATATAATCAAATGCTAAAAATGTTCAATTTAAAATTTTAAAATGATTTTTTTCCATGAAAAAATAATTTTACAGCCGCCAAAGTTGTATATTCCGAAAGGGCATCCAATTTGCCATAAAACTGTTACGATTTAATGAACACTCCATGTATGGGGTCGGACCGCAGTAAATGAAACCAATGTATACAAATCGCGACGACCCGCATCTAAATTTCGCCGGCTTGAGTCAAGATTGTGTTGAATTCCGGAACACCCGACCTCGGTTCAGAGCAAGATTTTGTGTTTATTCGTTGATTACAGTGGATTTAAAAACACGTGCAGGTAAGTTGAATGCACATTATATTACTAGCTATATTCTATATATTTATGATTAACTGCTGCTTTAATACATTTGAATATTAGTGTCCGCTTATCGGTAATTGCTCCACGCTTAAAAAAATTTTTTCCAAAAAATTATCTAGCCTTTTTTAAAAGTCAGTTGTATTTAATTTATGGTCACTGAAATAAAAAAGGAATGCACAATTAAATCAAAAAGATGTTTAAAAAGATGATAGAATTTAATTTGTTTTAGTAAATTATGTTAGTTAATAACATCGGCCGATTAAACTATCAATATTTTGTCGATATTTCAAGCCGATTGTCCGCCATGTTTTTTTTTACTTTCTCGTAGTGTTGGGTTCAACTATTATATTACCGCAGCGGTTAACAGCATACTTTCAATTTATTGTAGCATTGTTTTTTTTTGTCTTTCCTAGTTTCATAGTTAACTATTCTATATATGTGCAGTAGTTACATTAAATTTTAGAATATTACGATCTTTTACATTTTTTATCTCTAGATTTATTGTAAAGACGACTTGAAATAAAATGTAGCCCCCCTTCCATAATAGTTTAGTCCAAAGTTGTTTCTAGATTTAGTCTAGATCTACTTAGTAGTACTTAGATTAGTTAAATTCACTATTGCTTTCATGTTAATATTTAGATCTAGATCTAGTAGTAGAACTATCTATAGTGCTTACATTTAATATCTAAAAAGCATTGAGCAGCCTTACTTTTAATATTATTATTATTCTATTTACAGAGCAAGATATTAGCATAAAAGAAAGGGGAAACTCATTGGCCTACCAATAATTTTGTATTGTTGTGAAAGCAACAACAGGACTCCTGAATACTTTTGAAGGAAACCATATGTCAAATGTTAGTATTGTATGCACTTTGCTTATTATTTATAACGAGCCGGCCCGCGGCATAACATACGCCGCTATTTAGTTGTTTCTAATTTTCAATAATTCATAATTTGTGAATTCGACAGTACCAACGCTGACACTGAAAATATTTCTTTAAAACACTATAAATAGCTCGTTAGGACCATAACCCCCCCCTTCCTTCCCTCCCCCCTCCTCCCCCCCCCCCCCCCTACGTTTAAAATCGTTGGCTCTGCTTGTAAACATTTAGAGTGAACACAGCTCACTAAAACCATGTAGGGGTGGGGAGGTAGGGAGAGCGTTTGCAGCTTGTTTTCTAACGGCTCGAAGAAGAGAATTATATATATAGATGATGTAATGTTACATGATTGATATCTAAGTTGGTATAAAGATATACAGGCCTGCTATATAAGTCAGTATATTTGAAATGCTAATTAATTGTTTTTATTCACAGACATTTTCTATATTCTGGACCAATGGAAGGATCCCTTACTAGATTCCATAATTTGATCTGTAACCTTGAAGAAGACAAACTCAACCAGGATATTGACTATTAATTACAATGCTACCCAACCTCATAGAGAACTTTCCCAATCAGGATATTGACCTGTCTTTTTGAACCTGCTCTAAGATTTCTGATAATTGTATAAGTTAGGACCTAGACATTTCCAGAAGTTGACTTTGATCAATAACTAACTAGAAGAAATAAATATACTAGTAACAAGTAAATTTATGCTAAACAAGTCATGATTAGGAACCAGAGTAACAAAACTAGATGAACATCACAACTCTATTAGGGTAATTTAAAAAGAATTTCAGTTTAATTAGTTATCTTACTTCGCCAGTTTTTAAAATGCATGGAATTTCTTCTTATTATAGTATATAAGTAAAGAAGTAGTATAGTTATTTAGTTTTTTATAACCAAGTAATGCTAACATGTTTCCTACACAATTTATATTACTTTTTTAAAAGTAAGAACACTTTTTGCAAGATGTTAGGTAATGAAAATTCTTGATTTTGGGCATTAAGGAAGGATGCCTTGTATTGTTTTGCAGAATGATTATTTTATGTCTCTGTGTTTATTATATATTAAGAACATCATGTGCTTTAAGTTGGTGTAAAATTTATTAAGATACCTTACTTAAATATTTTTTAATAATTTTTTGAAAAAGGATGAAATTTCTAATTTTTATAAACTGACCTTGCTGAATCTGGTCTCGCTAATTACTTTCTTTATTAATTCTTTACCTGCTTATTTTATATTAACATGGTTTGAATTTCCTTTCTTAGAACATTTATATTATTAATGTGGCTTAATTAGTTGATTTTCTATGATTTTTTAAAAATGACTGTAAATTAACTTTTTGTCTCCCTTTTCGTACTTCGGTAAAATTGTGCTTTGGCTCATTTTTATGTGAATAAATTTTCTATTTATATCTGTCTGACTACCTTGAAAAAAATTGGGTTTGCTATTTGTATTACTGGCTGTGTGTGCAAGAAATTTGAGAGTTCTAACTTAGTTATTGTAGAAGTTAGTAGGGGTCTCAAATAGACCCTTTACTGTTCAAAAAACGAACGCATTTTTTGAGTTTTAAAAAATTCATAACTTTTTTAAAAATAGACATACATCAATAAATTTGGTGTTTCTATTCTGATGAAAACAGTCTCTATCAGGTGGAAGTGTTAAATTTTATTTAATTTAATTATAAAAATTTCATTTTGAATACCTAGTAAAAGGCTTACTGTCCGACATTTGGTAAAATCTTAGTTTAGCGTCGTAAATTCCAACGTAGCTAGTAATGTGCGATGAAGGTAACTAATGAATATTTCTTTCATTTGGCCATCTTTATGTCATATTTTACATAACATAACAGATAATTGAATAACAAATCACAATCCAAGACTAAACCAGTCATAAATATCCTGGAATAAACTTTAAACTACCCCGTTCGAGACAACAATGAGTAAATACAAGCAGCGGCCATGTTTCAAAAAGAATAATAGAGTACTTTCCCTTGAAAAATTGTCTATTCGCATGTCTTTTGTGTTGATTTTGTGGTTTAATATGATTGTTTTGTATTGTTTTAATATATGCCTTTATAGTAATTTTTTCTTTTTTTTCAATATAGTTGACATGAATGTCTAAAAGACCTTTTCAGACTTAATAGTGTGCATCAAGACCACAACAATTGTTGGGAGGTCGAACTTTTGAACACTTTATTTGCAGTAATGTAATCAAATCAATATTAGATCGCTCATAAATGACGTCGCTCTTAAGATAGTAATGACAGCGTGCATATTACAGAATAAACATATGAACATATTGTTTCAGCTAGAAATTGTGATTTGTGGTGGGGAGAGGTTCAGTAGAACTCAGCGATGTGATTTTGGAGAAGGGTCAGTTTTTTTTTTTTTCGTGAGAACAAGGGATGGTTGTGGGAGAAAGACCAGCTGTAGAAGTATGACGCGTCATTCGTGTTCTCAGTGGGGACGATAGACCTATTAAGAAGGGTCAAGAAATGTAAAAAGCATGCTGAGTCGCATTTCTTGAACCCCCACCTTTTCATT